TCTTAGGCTTACTTATAGTGATATATTTTTTACCGTGCTTGTTGACAATAGTAACTCCCAAGATATCACTTGTTGGCTGGATATCCATATCGAAGATCTTATGGGACGATATAAGGAAGTCGTAGTGCCGGAGGGCGTCGTTAATAATAGCTAATTCTTCAATAGCATGCCCATAAGTAGCCACCAAAATGTCGTCCATATAGCTTTTGCACATAGATGGTTGTTTTAATGGGGTTAGATGTAAGACGTATCTTACTGAGGTTCCCAAACACCATGGAGCAACATTTATCCCATATGGTAATGATAGGAATCGCATAGTACAATAAGAACCATCAGATAGTAGGACTCGGGTGTCTGTCAACGTAGAGAAATACTGGCCCAGCCGAATACATGTGAATGCATCACTTATATCCAAAGTAGCATGTGAAGTAAATAGTCTAGCTTCAAGTAACACGTCTGGGATTTGGGACTGCTTAAAAGCCATGTCACTGCACTTGTCGTGGAGGTAGTTATTCACATATAGGAATGTCAAGACAACTCTGGCACGTTTTCCTCGTACAACATAATAATTCTGGATAGTAGTGGCCTCTGAACGTGGTGGTAGCCGTACAACTTTACCCGCTTGTTGCCATTTATGCCATATATTCACCGAATCTTCTAGGTCTTGCTTAGGGCAGTTCGCCATACGAGTATGTAACCTTCCATACCGTTTATACTCTGCGACATTCATCGGCTTTATGGTACCCTTCTTGATCTCCACAGTAAAGCATTTAGTCTTCTTGACAGCATCATAAGTAAGGTAAAGAGTAATCCATCCCAGATCTTGTACAGTAGCAAGTATATGTAGGTGTGAGGGTAAGGTAGATGCAGTAGTATTATGGTCTTCATGAGGTACTTGATGGACGAACGAGGTTACATGTTGAGGAGCGGGCGCCTTTGAGAGAGACTGGCTGTGTGGTTGTACGGGATGATCGGATGTGGTATCTGAGAGATGAAGGGACAACGAAGGTGGTGTAGTAGACTGATCGACCTTCAATCCAATAGCACGCTGTAGTGCTCGTCCAACAATGATATTTTCAACAATATGTTCTACAATTATGAACGGATATTTCACTAACTTTGTAGACGAAAAACACAATGGTAAAATTACAGTACCAATACACGGAAGTGGTTTACCATCAGCAGTGAACAATTGGTGTGATGATTTATTACTATATTGCAATACATTACTAGATCTTAACTTATCAACATATCGTCTATCAACTAGAGAATATTCACTACCAGTATCGATAAATAAATTACATTTATGATTATATACAGTAACAGGGTAAAGTAACCGCGATGAATGATTAGTAGAACAATTTACTGTGGGTGGGACAGGTGAACGCGGTTCATCCCTGTCCCGTACTCGTTTTCCGAAAAATTATCATACTCAATGGTATCGACAGTATTAGTAACATCGTACATACTAACATCATCTTCATGATTGGCAGTTTGGTTAAATGAACGGTTTTGATTGTCAGGTCTTCGTCCATTCCGTGGAAAACGATTATTCCGATTCCCATAATCAGGAGATGCTTGCTGGTCTCGGAGACGCCGTCGACACTCACGCCAAAGATGACCAGGGATACCGCAGTAGTCACAGGTAGAAGACCACGACCTATGTTGAGGGAAACTACGACGATTGTATGTATAGTTGTTCCTTCCAGGTCTCCTTGAGGGTTGATAACGACCATAGCGGTAGAATCCGCCTTTACCTTTACCACGCCGGGAAATGAAGTTCACCATGAGTTGTTGTTCTTGTCGGATAGCTTCAGCAAGGTCAGCAATCGCTGCTACAGCAGGGTCGGACTTCGTCAGAGGATCGTTAAGTTGAACTGATGGTAGATTCACAGCATCAACAGTAGGGGCTTCTAGTGGTGCGTCGTGAGTAATTGGAGTAGTACCAGTAATCGCATTGGAACCGGTATTAGATTTACTCGATGAGGGGGTCGTCTGGATAGCTTGGAGTCTCTTAGCCATACGTAATGCATCTTGTAGACTATGAATAGATTCTCGTGACTTTCTCAGATCAACTTGTAGGTCAGTAGGTAGTGAAGCTATGAACTTAGCTATGAGCAAAGCATCCCTTGACTTGCTGTCTAACGTTAGTCCGCTAGACTCCAGCAACTCCGTAAGCTTATAGGCATAGAGGTCCAAATTATCAGTAGAATCATACTTAGCATTAGAAAACTGATCAAAGGCAGTACTTTGCTCGGGGGCAAGCTCGTCTTCCAACTTCTGCATGGCTTTAGATAGAGTACTCCTATTTTCCACAGGTATCCTGGTGAACGTTACCAATGCAACCTTCTCCAATAAAGTCGGTAACTTCTTCAAGGCGGGCTCGTCAGTCCAACCATTGGCTTCTTGACAGTAGGCAAAACGGAGACGCCACTCACGAAAACTTCCAATACCAGAATAGGGCTTAGGGACAGCAGTGTATTTACTTACGGTGGATGTCGACGTTTCTTCATTACTTGGTTTTGTCATGTTGACCAGTAGGAGCTGCTACCACTTTGTGGAACGCAAGAACTGTATGTATCGTAGGAGGATATAAGTATACAAGAGCTATAGCAAATGGGAACTACATAGCTTAGCTAATAGCTGAGGGAGACAGGTCTGTGTCAGTCACCACACGCTACTTCCTTCCGGAAAATGCTCTCCATCTTCATCGCCATCATTCTTGGTGATCCTATACCCAAGATCATACGTGATTGTAATGCCTCGAAGAAAACGGTAACGGCGTTCTGTGGTCTCGTTGGAGAAGTCTGTAACCTTTCCAATGTCTCCCAGCGATAACATTGCTCTTACGAGTACATACAAGCCGATGAGACGGCCATTGGCCAAAGGACGTACCATAGAGGTCGCCGACAACGTTAGTCGGGACCTCTGTGGGTACAAACCGTCGCTGACATAGATCCCTGCTCTGGTAAGGTCCCATATGTGTCTTCCTGTTACATCGATGATCGCTCTGCCAACTCCTTGGAGCCGCTCATCATGGACAGGGCTGCAGATCGTACTCTTCTTGTGACCGATCAGCTACGAAGCTACCAGACCATTGTCAGTAGGAATGCTCCTTTTCTCCGAGCACCAGACAATCAATCACTCCAAACAGTTCCGCAACGATGCTCGATTCACCACGAATGCCATCGAGTCG